GGATGGAATTCGGAGGAGGCCTAATCTGTGGGATCTAATCAGTCTATTGGAGGTAATTGGTGAGTGAAGTGAAGCGTGAAAGATTCGCTATTCCTAGGCTAAGAGTTTTATGGAGCTTGGGGATGGGCCATTGGAGTCATCAGGAAAATACATGTTAAATAAATTCATTAATGTGCATTTTGAAATGTTCCAGGAGCCTCAAAGATTGGAAATGGTCACGAGAGCGTATTGTCGCCGGGAACCCCACAGCAAAACAGGGTATTGCAACAACTACAGCAAGGTGACTGGAGGCTACAACAGCTGCATCATTTACATCAGCAACAGCAACAGCAGCAACAACAATTGCTCCATGATTCATACATGCAGCAGGTAACGCTGTGGCTTAGCTGTGATGTGTAATCCCACTTTCACGTTGCCTCTTCTACTTTCTTTAAGACTCAGATCTTATATAACCTGTCTATCTTCCTCACCATTTTGCAGAATGCCTTTCGATTTGCTCTGCATTTGGGATGTGTCTATTTGCTATTTCTAACATTTTTACGTGGGGTACAGAGCGTAGAGAATGGGAAACACAGAGTAGGAACAGCCCTGAACCGCCCCGTCCCCAAACCACTGCGTTTTCCCCAAAATACAACCTGCCCCGAAAGTAAGTCCTAGCTTGATTTTTACACCTGTGCCCAATATAAGCCTTACCTCCCAAAATAAGCCCTAATTAAGACACCTCCCACTCCAGGATGCACGGGTTAAAAAATAAGCTAGGGTGGGGATGGAGGGGTGGAGCTGCCCTATTACTTATCTTTACAGCCACGTCTTGCACACCCGGACACCTGCCTTGCCGGCCCATTTCTTCTACCTGCAAGGCTTTCCTGACAGCCTCTTCAGTCAATAACAGAGATCCAGATTGATCCGGAACTCGGTTATCGTCTACAAAGGCCTCCAGGAAAGCCTTGCTGGCTGCAGAAGAAGTTCCTGAAGGCGAAAAGGAGGCCAGGGGGGCGACGTGCGCAAGTGAGGTGGGTCAGTGGACGACGTCCCCCCCCGCCCTCCTGAAAATAAGACCTGGTGCCTTTTTTTGGTGGCAAAAAACCCCATGAGACCCACTCTTATTTTCAGGGAAACACGGTAGCTTACCTTGGGACTGTTTTGTTCACAGTAAGGATTAAGCAATTACTAGAGAATTCCTGTGTGGCTTTCCCTGGGTTTTTTTCCCCCCCGAGTTGCCAAAAGCAGTTTTGTTTGTGGGTTATTTCACTTGATTGAGCAGCATTTGTGATTTATGCAAATATTTTCTTTTTCAATTACAGTATCAGCAAGCAATGCAGCAGCATGTTGTTCAGCAGCAGCTTTTGATACGCACTGTGTATCAGCAGCAGCAGCAGCATCAGCAGCAGCCCCCTCCTTCTCCATATCCTGCTATGGTAAATCACTTTGGGAAACCCAATAAAACCCTTCTAGCTAAGAAAGGGAAGCTTGGACTGTAATGATAGTTTGATTGCACTGGTTAGCTCCCTCTAATTTATTAGGCTCTACTTAGCAAACATTTTGTCAAACCATTTATTGTTCACCAAAGCAAACCAACGAGTTGAGAGCGAATTTAACAGTATTATGTAAATAAATGAAACTCAGAATTATATAAATCTGGTGGCTTTTAGCGGAGCCTCATCTTAAATACATCCTCTTCAAGGTACCTTGTTTTTCTGGGCTGCCACTTTTTTTTTTAATCTTGGCTTATGAAACAATGAAATGTGTGTGAAGAAAATGATACATCTTCAGTTTTCAATCCCTTCCATATTATTTACTTCCCATAATATTTAATTAATAGAAGAAAAACATTACTTCTTGAAAAACAAATTGTAAGGGTTTTTTTTGGTCAAAATAAATGGACATCATCCTCGACTCAAAACCGGAATTGAACCCGGAATTATGGTTGCAAGTTGTTGCAGTTGTAAATCATGTGACTGGACCTGTCTTTTCGGCAATTTTTTTCCGGTGGTCATTGAGTGAATGCAATGGGTATTTTTTGCTGGAAACCAGAAGTAAATATTGGAAACGGGGAAAAATACCCATCAAAAACAGCAATGTTTGTTCAATATTGTAAGTTTTTGGTGAAGATCCCTCCCACCCAAGAATATTGTGCTACATCATTTTATGTTCATCATAATGTGGAGCGAGAGGAATAGATGGCATAATTTAATTGTGCTTAATTATGTAACTATCTGAGACTTCTCAGGAAACAACAACTGAATGGAAAACTGCTGGTGACCTTCTACCGCTGCACCATAGAGAGTATTTTAACTTACTGTGCCTGCGTGTGGTTTGCCAATTGCACAGTGGCAGATAGGACAGCGCTCCAGAGGGTTAACATCATTGCCCAGAGGATCGTGGGTTGCCCTCTCC